GCTGCTGCTGGCTCGGCGCCGCCGCCTTCCGCCGGCTCGGCGGCGGCGGAGAGGAGGCGGACGGACGCCGCGTCGCCCTCCCCCCACCCCGAGTACAAGGCCGCGCGGAGCGCCTGTGAGATGGCAACGAGATTGGGCGAGGTAGTCCGAGGTAGTCCGAGATCGCCCGAGGTTGTCCGAGATTGTCCGAGATTGTCCGAGGTCGTCCGAGGTAGTCCGAGATCGCCCGAGGTTGTCCGAGATCGTGTCCGAGATTGTCCGAGATTGTCCGAGGTCGTCCGAGGTTGCCCGAGGTAGTCCGAGGTCGTCCGAGGTAGTCCGAGGTAGTCCGAGGTAGTCCGAGGTAGTCCGAGATCGCCCGAGGTTGTCCGAGATCGCCCGAGGTTGTCCGAGATTGTCCGAGATTGTCCGAGGTCGTCCGAGGTCGTCCGAGATTGTCCGAGGTTGTCCGAGACTGGCGCCTCGAGGCCGTCCTCGTCGACCGGCGCCGCCGCCGCCAGCGCCGCCCTGGACGCTGCCAGCGCCGCTGCGCAAGCCTCCTGCGCCTCCTCCTCCTCACTCTGCCACACGCCCGCCTCCGGCTCGACCGGCCGGAGGTACGCGTCGCCAGCGGCAATGGCGGCACCCTCCGTCTCGTCGACGCCCGCGCCGCCCGCGGCGCCCGCGGCGCCCGCGGCGCCCGCGGCGGCGGCTGCGGCGGCTGCGGCGGCTGCGGCTGCGGCGGCGATGGCGTCGCGCTGCTGCGCCGCCCACGCCGCCTCCTCCGCCCGAAAGTCTCGAGCAGACTCGCACAGTGGCGCAGTGCCGGCCTACCTTACGGTAGTCATACTCAGCCAGTGCCGGGTCAGCGCAGGAGCGTGGCACGGACGGGGGCGGCGCCACTCGCGGCGTGCGCGCCGCCGCGGAGGTAGCGAGAGCCGCGTCGCCCTCCGCCGCCTCGGCCGCCGCCGCCTGCAGCTCCATCTCGGGTCATGTCGGGTCATGTCGCGCCATCTCGGGTCATCTCGGGCAATCTCGGGTCATCTCGCGTCATCTCGGGTCTTGTCGGGTCCTCTCGGGTCCTCTCGGGTCCTCTCGGCTCCTCTCGGCTCCTCTCGGCCCCTCTCGGCTCCTCTCGGCTCCTCTCGGCTACCTCTCGGCTACCTCTCGGCTCCTCTCGGCTACCTCTCGGCTCCTCTCGGCTCCTCTCGGCTCCTCTCGGCTCCTCTCGGCTCCTCTCGCCTCCTCTCGGCTCCTCTCGGCTACCTCTCGGCTACCTCTCGGCTCCTCTCGGCTACCTCTCGGCTCCTCTCGGCTCCTCTCGGCTACCTCTCGGCTCCTCTCGGCTACCTCTCGGCTCCTCTCGGCTGCCTCTCGGCTACCTCTCGGGTACTCTCCGCCTGCAGCTCCTTCCAGCGGCCGAGGGCGGCCGCATCGGGCGGCGCGTCGACCGGCACGTTGGAGACGCGGGGGAGGCGCGCGAGGATCGCCGAGCCGAACCGCTCGTACCGCTGCACCTTAATTAATATTTAATTAATAATGAATTAGTGAATTAATTAAGCCGAACCGCTCGTACCGCTGCACCTCGACTCCGCCGCAGCCAGGCAGCAGCTGCACCCACAGCCGCACATCTCGCGGCAGCGGCAGCACGACCCGCTGCAGCGGCTGCCCCTCGACGCCAACGTACAGCGACCGCGTCGGCGCGCCCTTGGCGCCCTCCTTGCCGAGGTCGACGCAGACCGTCACCGCCACCGCCGCCGCACCCGCGCCCGCCTCCTCCCCCGCCGCCGCACCCGCAACCACCGCCGGCGCCGGCAAAGTGACGACAGGGAAGCCCCACTGGCGCGGGTCCGCGGCGGCAAAGATGGCGCGCGACGACGGGTTCCAGCCCCAGGCACGCGGCGCCGCGCCGCTCCCCGCCTCCACGCCCGCCGCGCTGCCGCGCCGCCGCCGCCCGCCCTCGGCAGCTGCAGCTGCAGCAGCGCCAGGCGCGGCGGCGGCGGAGGCAGCCTCGATCGCCTGGCCGCGCGAGAGGCGGGTCTAGGAAAGGTCTAGGAAAGGTCTAGGAAAGGTCTAGGAAAGGTCGAGGAAAGGTCTAGGAAAGGTCTAGGAGAGGTCTAGGAGAGGTCTAGGAGAGGTCTAGGAGAGGTCTAGGAAAGGTCTAGGAAAGGTCTAGTCTCCGCCTGGTCGCGCGAGAGCTTGCCGTCCCAGACGGCGGTCATGTCGGGCGTGCCGGCGGGCAGCGGCGCGTAGCTCGGCGCTCCGAGGCTATACGCCGACGTACCGTCCAGGTGCACGCCGCTCACGACGCCCGCCCCACCAGCCGCCGTCGGAGCCAGAGGCGCGCGGCTGGCGGCTGGGAGGCGCTTGGTCGGCGCTCCGTCGGCAACGACGCCGATGCACACGCCCCAGCCCGCCGGCGCCTCGCCTCCCTCCTCCGGAGGCGCGCGCTGGACTGCGAGCGTCCAGCGGTGGAAGCCGCCGCCGAGCGGCTCAGAAGAGTAGGCAAAGGCGCACTCCGTACCGGAGGTGCGCGCCGTGGCGGTGCGCCCGTCCTCGCCGATCTGGCAGGTGGTGGAGGTGCCAAAGGTGGCCATGGCGAGCGGGCGGGTGCGCGAACGGGAGTGTGGCGAGAGCAGCAGCTAAAGTCCGCGCGCTAGGAACGTCGCCACAAAAATGAGACGGCCGCAACCCGATGCCAATCATCCGGCCCGCTGGGTGCGCTTCTGAGCTCCCCGGCCCTGGATGTGCGGTTAATGACTGCACTCCAAGTGCTCCAAGGGCTGGAGGCGCACCGCGCCGCCCCCTCCCTCGCCGCCCCCTCCCTCACCACCTCCCCTCTCGCCTCCTTCCTCGCCGCCTCCTTCCTCGATTCCCCCTTTCTCGCCGCCTCCTCCCTCACCGCCCCCATGCCCCGCGCACCGGCGAGCGAGTGGCACGAAAGAGTGCAAGTCGCGCATGCTTTTGCGTAACGGCGTAGCTGGAGAGAACCAGCACCAACAAAGGACTTGCTTCACGTGTTTAGATACTGCGCTCTTTCGAAAGTGCAGACATTGCGCACCACGTTGACACCAGACACCTCCTTTGATGGCCTGCCATCTGCAGCAGCTGGGCAACCCTCCCAAAAGAGGTTGGGACATGAGACAGTGAGCAGGGCGCTGGAAGCGGCGGGTTCTTGACGATTACAGGGAGAGTGCCGGGAGGTCCTCACAAAGGTCCTCACTCAGAGCGCGAGAGACGGCACTGCGCCTCCTCGGGTCGTTGGCAGTGTGGAAGCGCCAGTTCTGTGTTGCAGGAGAGGGCGCGCGCGCCTTGGCGCCGTGGTCCGCTTGTGAGAGAGGACCCTTGCTTATGAGGACCTCTCGTTGAGAGGCCCTCTCGTAGCGAGCTTTGTTGTCAGACATCAGGGAAGTCTACAAGTGTAAACTTTCGGGATGAATTGATGTGCACGCGCCGCTCTTGTACATGCACAAAGCTCTAGAACTTCATTCACGTACATCTGAGCGATTTTCTCACTCACCAACCAACCAACCATATTGCAATACGTTCGACATCGTAGTCATTCCTGACCATGCTCCGCTAAAAAATTGGCGAGCGGGCGGGTGTGCGAACCGCGTGTGGTGTCAGAGCTGCGCGAGAGGCAGCTCACGCGCTTGGAACGTGGCCACCGAGAATTGCCCCTAGACGGCAAGAACCCGAACCCACAATCCACAGAGACAGAGACAGCACACGCTGTGCTCTCGCATCATCCAGCCACGTGCAGCATACACACACACACACATATGCTGCCGGCCGACACCAGCAACACATCGCTCTGGAGACCACGCCGCGCCTTCGCGCCGCTGCTTCCGGACCGGCGGCCGCTGGCTGCCGGCTGCTCTCGCGTCTACGTCGACCTCGGGTGCAACGACGGGCTCAACCTGCGCCGGCTGTTCATGCCAGCGGTGCACCGGTACGGGCAGAGTCTGTTTCGCGAGCTGGATGCCGCCGTGGCTGGCGGGCAGTCCAACCGCTCGGACATCTGCGCCATCGGCTTCGAGCCGGTTCCGGCCAACGAGGAGTCCATCCGCAAGCTGGTCGCCTCCCTCCGCGCCGGCGGCCAGGCGCGCGCTCAGCTGCTGGCCGTTTTCCCCGCTGCCGTCCACGCCACCAACGGACTGGCGACGTTTTACCTCGATCAAAACGGCCCGGGCAGCGGCGGAGCAAAGTACCACAACTGGGGATCGTCCTTGCTCATGTGGGAGGCAGGGATGGAGCGTCGGCAACTCCGCGTTCCGCAGGTCGGCCTGACGTACCTCCTGGAGCGCCTGCACGGCGCCGACGCCGACGCCGAGGCCGCACGCGTGCTGACCGTGATGAAGATGGACATCGAGGGCGCCGAGTACGACGCGCTGCCGGCGGCGTGGCGCGCCGTCTGCGCGCGCGTCGACCGCCTCTTCCTCGAGACGCACGACCGCTTCTTCTCGGAGCGATGGCACGGCCACCGCGCCGAAATGGGCTCGGGCGAGGGCCGCGTCGCTCGGCTGCACGAGCTGCTGCGCCGCATGGACGATGAGCGCCGCGCGGGCCGATGCCGCACGCGCTGGACCTTGCTCGGGGCCCGCGAGGGGCGCAGGGCAAGGTGACTCCCGCCACGTGCTCCGCAAGCCGCGGCCGATTTAGGTCGAGAGCTGTGCGGGGTGCGTTGGCATTTTTCAACCGCGTGACAAAAAATGAAGAATTTCACCCATCGGGCCGGTCCGTGGGCGTGTCACGAGTGCGAGCCGCTCGCGCGGTTCCACTCTAGAGTACAACGGACTACGACTAAAGCCGTACGCCCCTGCTTATGCGCGTTGCGCGGGTACTTGGGGGATGGGGCTACTGTAGGGGCGCGCGGCAGCGTGGCGGAAGCACGCACACGCAACTGCCTCCCCAACTGTTAACTGTAGTGCGCGTCGGGCTGCCGCGTGCTAGCCCGTGTGGGTGGAGAAGTTGGGCTACACATTCCCCTTCCCGCTTCTCTGAGAGTTCCCTCTGCCGCATCACGCCGCCCGCCCTGCGCTGGCGAGGGAGAGGATCAGCGACGCGAGAGCGCCGCGCAGCGCGCCGGCCTCCGCCTGGGAAAGGGCTTCCCCGCCCAGCTGCGCTTGCAGCAGCCGCTCCGCAACCTCGCGGTCGTGCTCGAGCCACGGCGCCTCGTGCTGAGGCTGTCTGCCTTGCGCGGAGGGCGAAGCAGCCGCCGACGGCGTCGCGGCCGCTGCCGACCCCGGCACTGCTGCAGACCGCCACGGAGCGGCAGGAGGAGGAGGAGGAGGAGGAGGAGGAGGAGGAGGCGGAGGCGGAGGCGGAGGAGGAGGAGGAGGCGGAGGAGGAGGCGGAGGAGGCGGAGGAAGCGGAGGAGGAGAAAGGGGTGGTGGAGGAGGTGGTGGAGGAGGTGGATGGGGCGGCGGTGGCGGAGGCTGGAACGGCGGGGGCGGCAGTGTTGGTGACGGTAGCGGTGGCGACGGCAGCGGTGGCGACGGCAGCGATGGCGACGGCGGCGCGGGCGGCGGCGGCGCGGGCAACGGCGAAGAGGGCGCTGGCAATAACAGGGCTGCGCCGGCGACTAGCGGCTTCGCCATGAGAAGCTGCGGCGCCGATGGCGGCGAAGCGCCGTCTGCGCCGCCGACAAAGTCGTCTCCCGTGAAGTGCGCCCCGAGGCTGCTCTGCGCATCGAGCTCGACGTACCCCATCGCCTCATACAGCCGCCGTGCAGCGGCGTTGTCGACGTCGACGTGCAGAACCATCGCCTCCGCCCCCTCATCCACGCCGCGCTGCTCGGCACTCTGCACGAGGCGGCGGCCGAGCCCCTGCCGCCGTGCCTCGTCGCGCACACACACGTTCACCACGTACGAGGCCGTGCCCCAGGCGCCGACGTCCTCGACGAGCAGGTCGGCCGAGCCCATCACCCGCTCGCCGACGAGCGCCACGAGCACGGACGTCTTGCGCTTCATCGCGTCGACGAAGGCGCGGCTCTGCAGCTGCCGCTGCCGCGACGACGTGAGCTCTGGCCGGAAGACCACGGTCCGCATCAAGCCGATCGAGCGGAGCTGGGCAGCAGTCGCGACCTCCACGCGGGCGCCCTGCAGCGCCGAAGCTGCGACGGCCAGCAGCAAATGCATGCAGGCGACGCTCGGGCGAGTAGAGGCCCCGCCATCCCAGGGTGGGGAAAAGAATTTTAAACCGGGAAAAAGAATTTCAAACTTCAGCAGCGGGTTCCCGTGAGATATCCTCTCCTTAAAATCCCTGTGTGGTGGCGGCGTGCCGTTCTCCCATCCCTCCCTTGGGTTGTGTGTTTTCTTTCTTTCTTTCTTTCTGAGATTTGGGGAGATATGAGGAGATATGGGGAGATATGGGGAGGTGTCTCTCGCGCCTCCAGTAGCAGAGTGGAGTCAGATATGGGGAGATATTGGGAGATATGGGGAGATATGGGGAGATGAGGGATAGGTTACTCTCTGCTACGGCTCCTACGCAGCGCCCCCGTCGTCGCCCGGGAGGGCCGGCCTCCCCGGAGGGGTCGCCCCCTGGAGGGGCCCCAAAGGGCTCCCCGGGGGGGCGGGGGCCCCCGCCCCGAGGGGCGGGGGCGGGTCCTTCCGTGTCGCTCCCCTCGTCGGGAGTGTCCGTCGGGATGGTGTTGTCCGCCCACTCGGCAGCGTTTGAGCCTCTGTCACCTTGCCTGCCGCGAGCAGCTAGCTCGTCGACGTAGTCGTTCCATTTGTTGCCGCTGTGACCCGCCACATGCCTCCACGTCACGGTGTGTTTGGCGCGAAGGCGTCGCCAGAGGGAACGAAGGCGCTCCGCTAGCTGTCTGTTCGTTTTGGGGGTCACCCTCCCCATCATGCATGCCGCCGCGTACTCGCTGTCGGTCCGCACTACTCCGCGTGAGCCCGCTCGTTGCGGTGACGAGGACAGGAGAGCCCGGAGGAGCTCGGCTAGGGCGGTTAGTTCCGCCGTGTTGTTGGTATGCCTTCGCGCGCCGAGGTAGGCTGGGTGCGCCGCCGAAGTGACAACTGGCCCGTAGCCCTCGCTCGCCAGCGACGCGCCCCTATCGCCGATTGCGTCGCCCCCGATGAGTACTGTATAGGCCCACCCTGCTTTCCCTAGGTCTTCCGACCCGTCTGTGTATGCCACCCAGTCGGGCGGGCGTCGTTGCGCCTGCTCTGCCAGTTGCTGCTGTGGGCGAAGAACGACCCCTGGTGCCTCGACCATTAGTCTCAGCTTGACCCGGCATGCCCCCCCTTCACCCTGAGGCGCTACACAGAGGAGTGCGACTGTGCTCACCGCGCAGCCGTTTGCCGCCACCCCTCGGACAGATTCGAGCGTCTCGGGGAGCTCGCACTCACCTTCGCTGGAAAAGAATCCTGAAAAGAAAGAAGGAAAGAAAACAGACAACCCAAGGGAGGGATGGGAGGACGGCACGCCGCCACCACACAGGGATTTTAAGGAGAGGTGTGTGATGCGCTAGCCGTCGCCCACCCTAGGGAGTCTGCCTCTTCCTATCTCTCTCGCAGTCTCTCGCCGCTTCTCGCAAGAATCCTGAGGCGAGCCAAAATCAATCGAAAAATTCTTTCGGCGCGATGGAGGCGAACCGTCAGCCCGCGCCCGCGCCGGCGCCGGCGGCCAGCGAGGAGGGCGCGGCGGCGGTCCCGGCCGAGGCTGAGCTGGCGCCTGACACCGGCGTCGAGCTCTCCTGGCGCGAGCGCGAGCGCGCGCGCAAGGCGGCGCTCAAGACAATCCAGGCACGCGAGAAGGCGGAGCTGTCGGACGCGTCCAAGGCGACGGCCAAGGAGCGGCTCGCCTACCTCATGCGGCAGACGGACGTCTTCTCTCACTTCATTAAGTCGCCGGACGACGCCGCCGCCTCCTCGAGCTCCTCCAAAGGCGGCGGCGGCGGCGGCGGCGGCGGCCGCAAGGGCAAGGGCCGCATGACGGAGAAGCAAGAAGACGAGCTGATGGCGAGGCAGGAGGCGGAGGGGGGAGGGTCGGCGCAGGGCACCCGCCTCACCGCGCAGCCAAAGTGCGTGAGCGGAGGAGCCATGCGTACGTACCAGCTGGAGGGTCTCAACTGGCTGATCAAGCTGTTCGAGCACGGCATCAACGGCATCCTCGCCGACGAGATGGGGCTCGGCAAGACGCTGCAGACCATCTCTCTGCTGGGGTACCTGAAGGAGGCGCGCGGCATCTCGGGGCCGCACCTGGTCATCGTGCCAAAGGCGGTACTCACAAACTGGCACCGCGAGCTGGCGCGGTGGTGCCCGGCGCTGCGTGCAATCAAGTTCAGCGGCGACAAGGCGGCGCGTGCGGAGTGCAAGAGCGAGTACCTGGAGCAGTCGGGCGCGTTCGACGTGTGCGTGACCACGTATGAAACGGCGATCACCGAGAAGGCGGCGCTGTCCAAGCTAGTGTGGCGCTACCTGATCATCGACGAGGCGCACCGGATCAAGAACGAGCAGGGCAAGCTGGCGCAGGTGGTGCGCCTCTTCACGGCGCACTCGCGGCTGCTCATCACCGGCACGCCGCTTCAAAACAACTTGCACGAGCTCTGGGCGATGCTCAACTTTCTGCTGCCCGACATCTTTTCGTCGTCGGAGCAATTTGACGAGTGGTTCAACCCTGAGGACAAGGGCGACGGTGGCAGCGGCGAGGACGTGCTCCACCAGCTGCACAAGCTGCTGCGCCCCTTCCTGCTGCGCCGGCTAAAGAAGGAGGTGGAGAAGGACCTCCCGCCCAAGCGCGAGATCAAGCTGCTGATTGGCATGTCGCAGCTGCAGCGCACCTGGTACCAAAACATCCTCACCAAGAACATCGACGTGCTCAACGCGATGCAGGGCCACAACCGCGGCCGCATGCACAACATCCTCATGCAGCTGCGCAAGTGCGCCAACCACCCGTACCTGTTCGACGGCGCGGAGGAGCCGCCGTTCGTCAACGACCAGCGCCTCATCCTGCACAGCGGGAAGATGGTGCTCCTCGACAAGCTGCTCGGCCGGCTCAAGAAGCGCGGCCACCGCGTGCTCCTCTTCTCGCAGATGACGCGCATGCTCGACATCCTCGAGGACTACTGCGGCTACCGCGCCTGGGAGTACTGCCGGATCGACGGCTCCACCAGCGGCGACGACCGCGACGCGGCGATGGAGGCGTACAACGCGCCGGGCTCGAGCAAGTTTCTCTTCATGCTCTCGACGCGCGCGGGCGGGCTCGGGATCAATCTCGCCACCGCCGACACAGTCATCCTCTTCGACAGCGACTGGAACCCGCAGATGGACCTGCAGGCGATGGACCGCGCGCACCGGATCGGCCAGACGCGGGAGGTCATCGTCTACCGGTTCATGATCGAGGGCTCGGTCGAGGAGAAGATTATCGAGCGCGCCCAGCGCAAGCTCTACCTCGACGCCGCCGTCATCCAGCAGGGACGGCTGGCGGACCAGTCCAAGTCGCTCTCCAAGGACGAGATGCTCTCTATGATTCGCTTCGGCGCGGACGCGGTCTTCCACACCAAGGGAGGCGGCGAGCCGACCGACGAGGACATCGAGGCGCTGCTGCTGCGGGGCGAGGAGCGCACGCGCGCGGACGAGTCCAAGCTCAAGGACCAGGCAAACTCGCTGGCCAACTTTACGCTCGACGGGCAGGAGCGGTCGATGTACGAGCTGGACGGGCAGGACTGGTCCAAGGGGTCCGAGGCGGCGACGCAATGGTCTCTCTCGCTGCCGAAGCGGATCACAAAGCAAAACTACGATGAGACGGCCCACCAGCAGCGGGCGGGGCTGCGCATGCCGAAGCAGGTCCAGATCCACGACTTTCAGTTCTTTGACGCGCGGCGGCTGCACGCGCTCCGCGACCAGGAGGTTGCGCACTGGCAGTGGAAGCAGGACAGGGTGCTCGCGCGGCGCGCCCGCGAAGAGGACGAGGAGGGGGAGGACGAGCTGACGCGCAAGGCGTCCGCGGCGGGCGTGCCGCCGCTGAGCGACGCGGAGCTCGACGAGCGCGAGGCGCTGCTGCGCGACGGCTTCTCGAGCTGGTCGCGCAAGGACTTCAACGCATTCGTCAAGGCGTGCGAGCGGCACGGGCGCGACGACGTCGCGTCGATCTCGCTTGAGCTCGGCGATCGGTCGGAGAAAGATGTGGCACTTCCTAGACACTTCCTAGACGCGTCCTAGACACTTCCTAGGCGACCGGTCGGAGAAGGAGGTGGCCCGCTACGCGTCCGTCTTCTTTGCGCGGCAGCGCGAGCTGAAAGGGGCCATGAGAAGGCGAGGAGTGGAGCTTGTTTGCTGATGCGCCCACTCATTCATCAGGTACCGCGAGCTCAAGGACCATGACAAGGTGATGCGGCGGATCACGCAGGGCGAAGCCGACGCCACGTCTGTGTTCGAGCCGTGTTTCGTGTTGCGAGCTGTGTCTCTTCTTCACAGGCGAGGCCAGGAGCATCCTGTGTTCGATCTGCATTCCTTTCGCGAGCTCTGTCGTCCCTTTGCTGTAGGCGAGGCCAAGATCCAGCGCCGGATCGAGATCGCGAGTGCGCTGGCGAAGAAGGTACCGACACACACCCGCGGGTCGGCTCAATTAGCTAATCCTATCTCGGCGATCTCTCGGCGATCTCTCGGCGATCTGACTGGTTAGGTCTCGGCCACCGCCAACCCGTGGGTGGGGTTGCGCTTGCGGTACGACGACGCGCGCGGCGCGCACTTCACGGAGGAGAACGACCGTTTCCTGGCTTGCATGACCGACCAGATCATTGTGTTTGGTTTATCGAGCTTGTACTTTGTTCTGTTTTGTGTTAGGTCTGCATGACGAACCAGATCGGCTACGACCGCTGGGAGGAGCTGCGCGAGGAGGTGCGCGCGTCGTGGCTCTTCCGCTTCGACTGGTGGTTCCGCACGCGGACCGCGCAGGTTCTAGTTAATCATTAATAATTAATAATTATTAATATTACTTATTAATCGACTGGTGGTTCCGCACGCGGACCGCGCAGGAGCTGCAGCAGCGCGTGGACTACCTGTCGCAGCTGATCGAGGCGGAGATCGACGAGATCGAGGCCCCTCCGCGTAACGGCGCCTAGGACCAAGTCCAGAGCTTGTGAGTGGCTCACCAGTCGTTTGCCGGTAGGCCGCCGACGACGCCGACGGCCGGAAGCGCAAGGGCGGCGCCGCGAAGGGGCCGCCGGTCAAGAAGGCGCGACGCTGAGAACGGCGCGTCGGCTGGCGGGCTTTTGCCGCCCTTCATCTCTCGCGCGCGGCGGTTCACCCCGCACCCCGGGAGACCGCCGCGCAGAGACCAGACGCAGAGTCGAGTAAGTGCTAGGTTTTGTGGCATCATGTCAGCTGAATATTGCTGAACACTACCATGCAAAAAGAATCTTAATTTCGCCGTCAACCCGCTCTGGCGGCGCTGCGCGCCACGTGGAGGGCGCGGCGCGTGCGTAGGAGCACGTGCTGCACACGCACCGCGAAGGCCGTCTCACGAGTCGGCGAGCCGAGCCCTATTCATAGCAGAGAGTGTGAACGGCGCCTCTTCACACCTCGAGCCGTGAACACCGTCCGGCGTCTTCTCACCGGCCCAAGGGCGCTCCGCGCCTTGCTACAGCGCCGATCGTGCAGCGCAGCACACGCGCGACACGCCACTCGCACGGCGTCTGATGAGTCGGCGCCTCGAGCCCTATCCGAGTCGAAAAGTGTGAGAACCGTCATTTCACACCTCGAAACCGCTAAGTCATTTTTTCGCCGTCAAGCCGCTCTAGCGGCGCTGCGCGCCGCAAAGAGAGCGCGGCGCGTGCAGAGGAGCACACGCTGCACACGCACGGTGAAGGCCGTCTCACGAGTCGGCGAGCCGAGCCCTATTCATAGCAAAGAGTGTGAACGGCGCCTCTTCACACCTCGAGCCGTGAACACCGTCCGGCGCCTTCTCACCGCACCAAGGGCGCTGCGCGCCGTGCTAACGGCGCCGAGCGTGCAGCGCAGCACACGCGCGACACGCCCATCGCACGGCGTCTGATGACCCGGCGCCTCGAGCCCTATCCGAGTCGAAAAGTGTGAGAACCGTCATTTCACACCTCGAAACCGCTAAGTCATTTTTTCGCCGTCAAGCCGCTCTAGCGGCGCTGCGCGCCGCAAAGAGAGCGCGGCGCGTGCGGAGGAGCACACACTGCACACGCACGGTGAAGGCCGTCTCACGAGTCGGCGAGCCAAGCCCTGTTCATAGCAAAGAGTGTGAACGGCGCCTCTTCACACCTTAACACCGTGATCGCCGGCAACCGCCTTCTCACCGCCCCAAGGGCGCTGCGCGCCGTGCAAACGGCGCCGAGCGTGCAGCGCAGAACACGCGCAACACGCCACTCGCACGGCGTCTGATAAAACGGCGCCTGGAGCCCTATCCGGGTCGAAAAGTGTGAGAACCGTCATTTCACACCTCGAAACCGCTAAGTCATTTTTTCGCCGTCAAGCCGCTCTAGCGGCGCTGCGCGCCGCAAAGAGAGCGCGGCGCGTGCAGAGGAGCACACGCTGCACACGCACGGTGAAGGCCGTCTCACGAGTCGGCGAGCCGAGCCCTATTCATAGCAAAGAGTGTGAACGGCGCCTCTTCACACCTCGAGCCGTGAACACCGTCCGGCGCCTTCTCACCGCCCCAAGGGCGCTGCGCGCCGTGGTAACGGCGCCGAGCGTGCAGCGCAGCACACGTGCGACACGCCACTCGCACGGCGTCTGATAAAACGGCGCCTGGAGCCCTATCCGGGTCGAAAAGTGTGAGAACCGTCATTTCACACCTCGAAACCGCTAAGTCATTTTTTCGCCGTCAACCCGCTCTGGCGGCGCTGCGCGCCACGTGGAGAGCGCGGCGCGTTCGTAGGAGCACGTGCTGCACACGCACCGCGAAGGCCGTCTCACGAGTCGGCGAGCCGAGCCCTATTCATAGCAAAGAGTGTGAACGGCGCCTCTTCACACCTCGAGCCGTGAACACCGTCCGGCGCCTTTCACACCTCGAAGCCGCTAAGTCTTTTTTTCGCCGTCAAACCGCTCTTACTAGCGGCGCTGCGCGCCGCGTAAAGAGCGCGGCGCGTGCAGAGGAACTCACGCTGCGTACGCACCGCGAAGGCCGTCTCTTGAGTCGGCGATCTGCGCCCTATTCACAGAATAAAGTGTGAACGGCGTCTCTTCACACCTCGAGCCGTGTACGCCGTCCGGCGCCTTCTCGCCGCCCCAAGGGCGCTCCGCGCCGTGCTAACAGCGCTGAGCGTGCAGCGCAGCACACACGACGCACGCCCCGTGAACGGCGTCTGACAAAACGGCGCCTCGAGCCCTATCCGAGTCGAAAGGTGTGAATATCGTCTCTTCACGCGTCGAAGCCGCTAAGTCTTTTTTTCGCCGTCAAGCCGCTCAGACGGCGCTGCGCGCCGCGTTGAGAGCGCGGAGCGTACAGAGGGGCACACGTTGCGTACGCAGCGCGAAGGCCGTCTCGTGAGTCGGCGAGCCGTAGAAAAGATATGTTTTCTTTTTTCCCCTTGTTTTTTCATCGGATGGCACAACGGCGGAGTAGTTGTCAGTCTCTTGGCACTTCTCGAACATGTTTTTGAGCCATCTCGCCGCCGTTGGCGGAGCTGAGTGCCGCCGCGCACACGGCAAATGTCGCACTCCGTGGGAAACGTCGGCGGCAACGCCGGAAATCTTTTTTGAAATAAAACTCACCAGACAACAACGCCGTGTAAATGCCAACGAACCGTTTTGCGCTCCTAACCAACAGCAACACACACCCCGGCCGGAACTACTCGTCGGCGGATGTGGACCAGAGCGACGGCCCATCCGGCCCTCATGGGATGCCCGGCTTTGGCGCCGGCGACGACGCGTACGGCCACCCCGAGGGCCTCTTAGCGACGGCAACCGTCGTGCCGGTGGCGGTGCCGGACCCGGTGGCGGGCGTCTTACGCTTGCTGCACGGGGTGGTGGTGGCGCCTTGTGGCAGCGGCCCCGGAGGCGCGGCCGGTCGAGCCGGCGCTGACTCCTGACAAATGCGCACAATCTCGCTTCCGTAAGTGTTCATCTTGTCCATCCCGATGCCGTTGACGAGCTTGAGCTCATCGAGGCTCGTCGGGCAGCGGTCCGCAATCTTCTGCAGCACGGAGTCGTGCACGACGTGGTAGGGCTGAACCCCATCGGCCTGCGCCCGTTTCGCCCTGAAGGAGCGGAGCGCTGAGTAGAGGTTGCCTCCGCTTGCATCGCCGGCAGCCGTCTGCGGAGGCGCCGCGGGCCTTGGAGGAGGAGGGGCCGAGTTCGACGCTGGCTGCCGGGCGCCGCAGTTAACGAGCTCCGCGTACGCAGCGTGCGAGGTGTCGTGCATGTGTCGGATGCGCGACCGGATCGCGCCGTTGGTTCGGCCGAATCGCTTGGCCAGCCTCGCCACGACGGCGTTGACCTCCTGAGTACCGGGAAGCTCGCCATCAGCCTGCAGCTGCACGTGGCAAAGTGCGTGCCAGACCGCCTTGCTGTCGTCGAGAGGCCACTGGCCGGGCATTGCTGTCAACCGTGGCCGATTGGTGGCGCGAAGGGCGGCTGTCAGCTTACCGGCGAGAGCGCGAAAGAGAAATCGGACCAGGCTTCGAGGCAAGGAAAAATGAAAATTTATAAAGGAAACTTGTTAAGGAGAGAAAATTTTTTTCTTTGCTTTGGCACGACGCCGGCTGGCGCTGTACGAGTTGCTCTCGCTCGCGGAGGAGCGTCGCAGTGTGCACCCACGCAACGCCTTCGCACGTCCACACCACACTCTGCGTAGCCATGGCATTTCACTCCGTGTGCGTGCGACTCGCACTCGCTCTCTTGCCCTCGCCGCCGCCTTCGCCGCCGCCGCCTTCGCCTCCGTGACTTCGGATCGCTTCCCCATTTCTCGCACTGCCTCGCTCGCCACGTTCGACAACAGTGCACCAGCGCTCGCTTTCTCTCGCTCCCACTCACGCTTCGTGCTTCGCTACTAGGTTCTTCGCATCTACTTGGAGTGGATAGCGTCTGCCGCCTCTCGCTGCTCTGTCCGCTCTGCCACCTCGATGCCGCGGTTGCGACGCTCTGATGCCACTCCCTAGATCGCAGCAGCTCCATCGCTCGTTGCACCAAGGAGCGATGACGAGGCGGCAGCATCGCATCGGCGGTGCCAGCCGTTGTCACGCTCGGCCATCTCCACCTCTCTCACCGCCGCCTCAGTCTTCGCCACCACGCGATCGCCTCCGGCGAGCCCGCAAGCACGAAGCCGGCTCTCCTCGCACTCGCGTCGCTCTCCGCCCCGGAGGGATGGCCAGTTAGGTCTAGCCAAAGTTGTGTGCGGTTAGGGTTAGCGGTTGCCGGAGCCGCGCACTCAAGTTAGGGTTAAAGACGTAGTAACACGCCGCGAGCGAGGGTTAAGCTAGGGTTATACGTCCCCCGTCCACGGCTCGACGGAGGGCTCAAAAATCGATAAAAAGGGCCCTCCCGCCAAAAAAATCGCGCGCTGCGCGCGCAGGAAGAGAGAGAGGGAGAGAGAGTTATTGCCGCCACCCGCACACGTACAACTCTCGCCCGGGAGAAAGTTGACGAGCGGAGCGAGGCAACTTTCCCGGGGCGAGCGCCGGCCGCGCGCGAAAAACGGCCATTTCGCCAAAACGGTGGAGGCCGCCCCGCGCTGCCGCCCAATCAAACCCGCACCGCCTGAAGCCCTCGGGAAGGCCCTCAAAACGTCGACGCGGGAGGCCGAAAATCGCCTCGCTTCAGAGCCCGCGCGAGGACGGACCCCACGCCGCCCCACGAGCGACCCGCGCAACCCGCGACCAACAGCCGTGCGGAGCATCGGCAGGAGACGTCCGCAGCCCCAAGGATCGTCCTCGTCCGATAAAACCATCGACCACCATAACCCTCCCCGCGCGCGCTGCGAATCTTCAGGCCCTCTGCTCGACTTTGGACGACCGACTTTATTTCGGGTGCTAAAGCAGCTCGCACGGGCCCATCTCACCGTCCCCGCCCCCGCCCGCCCCCGCGCGGCAGGCCCGGCGCCGCTGGCTTCCCCCGCGCACCTCACGGGGCGCCATGACACCGCCTGCCAGGCGGCCTGCAGACAGTGCGCACAGCAGCTGCTACATTCCTCGCCTCCCGACGGCCACGACGCCGCCCCACCGCCGAAGCTCGCAAAACCACGCACGGCCCCGTCCACACCGCTCACCGGACGCCCGCTCGCGCCGCCCGCGGACCCCTCTCCCGCCAAGCCCGCCCCCTCTCCTAGCCCCTCCCAGAAGCCGCCACACAGGCCTCGCCTCGCCTCGCACCAGCCCAAAAATGAAAAGGCGGAGTTCTGGGGCTCCCAGGCCAATCCCTATCGATTTGCGAAAAGGAAGTTCTGGGGGCCGGAAAACGTATTTTTTCTTTATTTCCCCACAGCGGGCGGACGGGCCTCTCAGCTCAACAAGCGAATGCAGTCTCTCTGCCCCTCTCGCCGCTATGCCTCGTCCACGCTCCAGCATCTCCTCCGTGCATACCTCCGGCGCGGTGCGGCGCCCTACCGCTCGCCGGCGCGTCTGATTGCCGCCGCGCCTCTCGGCGCGCGCCGATTCCGCTCCGCCGCCGTCTTGGCTGCCGCGCCGCCTAGCCTGGGCTGGATACGCTCCAGATCTTCGTTAGATGCGCCCGGCACCCGACCACCTCCCGCCTCGCCCGGCGACATCTCGGCGCGCGGACACTGCTGCTCGCAAGGCACGCCGGCGGGTCGCGCGAGGCGGCCGGCGGGACGCTGCAGCGGCTGCACACTCTGGTGGTGGACGAGGACACGCAGGACTCGATCGAGGCGGCGTCATCGTCTACCGCTTCATGATCGAGGGCTCGGTGGAGGAGAAGATTATCGAGCGCGCCCAGCGCAAGCTCTACCTCGACGCCGCCGTCATCCAGCAGGGACGGCTGGCGGACCAGTCCAAGTCGCTCTCCAAGGACGAGATGCTCTCTATGATTCGCTTCGGCGCGGACGCGGTCTTCCACACCAAGGGAGGCGGCGAGCCGACCGACGAGGACATCGAGGCGCTGCTGCTGCGGGGCGAGGAGCGCACGCGCGCGGACGAGTCCAAGCTCAAGGACCAGGCAAACTCGCTGGCCAACTTCACGCTCGACGGGCAGGAGCGGTCGATGTACGAGCTGGACGGGCAGGACTGGTCCAAGGGGTCCGAGGCGGCGACGCAATGGTCTCTCTCGCTGCCGAAGCGGATCACAAAGCAAAACTACGATGAGACGGCCCACCAGCAGCGGGCGGGGCTGCGCATGCCGAAGCAGGTCCAGATCCACGACTTTCAGTTCTTTGACGCGCGGCGGCTGCACGCGCTCCGCGACCAGGAGGTTGCGCACTGGCAGTGGAAGCAGGACAGGGTGCTCGCGCGGCGCGCCCGCGAGGAGGACGAGGAGGGGGACGACGAGCTGACGCGCAAGGCGTCCGCGGCGGGCGTGCCGCCGCTGAGCGACGCGGAGCTCGACGAGCGGGAGGCGCTGCTGCGCGACGGCTTCTCGAGCTGGTCGCGCAAGGACTTCAACGCATTCGTCAAGGCGTGCGAGCGGCACGGGCGCGACGACGTCGCGTCGATCTCGCTTGAGCTCGGCGATCGGTCGGAGAAAGATGTGGCACTTCCTAGACACTTCCTAGACGCGTCCTAGACACTTCCTAGGCGACCGGTCGGAGAAGGAGGTGGCCCGCTACGCGTCCGTCTTCTTTGCGCGGCAGCGCGAGCTGAAAGGGGCCATGAGAAGGCGAGGAGTGGAGCTTGTTTGCTGATGCGCCCACTCATTCATCAGGTACCGCGAGCTCAAGGACCATGACAAGGTGATGCGGCGGATCACGCAGGGCGAAGCCGACGCCACGTCTGTGTTCGAGCCGTGTTTCGTCTTGCGAGCTGTGTCTCTTCTTCATAGGCGAGGCCCGGAGCCTCCTGTGTTCGATCTGCATTCCTTTCGCGAGCTCTGTCGTCCCTTTGCTGTAGGCGAGGCCAAGATCCAGCGCCGGATCGAGATCGCGAGTGCGCTGGCGAAGAAGGTACCGACACACACCCGCGGGTCGGCTCAATTAGCTGATCCTATCTCGGCGATCTCTCGGCGATCTCTCGGCGATCTGACTGGTTAGGTCTCGGCCACCGCCAACCCGTGGGTGGGGTTGCGCTTGCGGTACGACGACGCGCGCGGCGCGCACTTCACGGAGGAGAACGACCGTTTCCTGGCTTGCATGACCGACCAGATCATTGTGTTTGGTTTATCGAGCTTGTACTTTGTTCTGTTTTGTGTTAGGTCTGCATGACGAACCAGATCGGCTACGACCGCTGGGAGGAGCTGCGCGAGGAGGTGCGCGCGTCGTGGCTCTTCCGCTTCGACTGGTGGTTCCGCACGCGGACCGCGCAGGTTCTAATTAATAATTAATAATTAATAATTATTAATATTACTTATTAATCGACTGGTGGTTCCGCACGCGGACCGCGCAGGAGCTGCAGCAGCGCGTGGACTACCTGTCGCAGCTGATCGAGGCGGAGATCGACGAGATCGAGGCCCCTCCGCGTAACGGCGCCTAGGACCAAGTCCAGAGCTTGTGAGTGGCTCACCAGTCGTTTGCCGGTAGGCCGCCGACGACGCCGACGGCCGGAAGCGCAAGGGCGGCGCCGCGAAGGGGCCGCCGGTCAAGAAGGCGCGACGCTGAGAACGGCGCGTCGGCTGGCGGGCTTTTGCCGCCCTTCATCTCTCGCGCGCGGCGGTTCACCCCGCACCCCGGGAGACCGCCGCGCAGAGACCAGACGCAGAGTCGAGTAAGTGCTAGGTTTTGTGGCATCATGTCAGCTGAAGGTAAGGTAAGGTAAGGTAAACTTCTCCACACACACGAGGTGGTGGGGCAAGGGGGGGCGACCCTCGCGTCTCCACGTCTAACGACAGGAGCCCCACGGCAAACGGCATTCAACGAAGTGCCGCGGCCAGGCCGTCCTTTGCCGCCGGCCCGTCGCTTCGTGAGATGGTCGCCAGGCACTTTGAGTGGTTCCGGGACGACGGCGGTGTAGCGGAGCCGTGGCCGTGGGTCTGGGCGCAGAAGCCCTCGATTGGATCGGTGGTTGTAGTCGTGGGCAGCGACGAGAAAGCGGCTGCGGCGCTGCGGCTGGCGTGCACAGAGCGCTCGCCGCTCCTGACCACTGTCATTGCCGTCGGCGACGAGGCGGCGCTCACGCGCCTCGGGGTGGGCTCTGCCGGAGGCCCCACTGAGAAGACGGGGATCATCGACGCGGCAGTGCACAGCGTAGACTACGAGGCCAAAATCCTGCTTACCACTCCGAGGTGTATCGACCGGCAACCCCTCTCAGACTGGCATTCCGAGGAGCGGCTGCTCTTCTTTGACGAGCTGGTCGTGGTGTGACAAGCGTGGTAGCTGTGTTGTGCACGTGTCAGACTCGTTTGCAGGAAATGAAGCAACAGCCCCACGCGTGGTCTGTATAACGGACATGAAGTTCATCAAAGACACATCACAACGGACGTGAGCGCAAAAAAACGCGCGCTCATGGCTTGAACTATCTCGCAGCAATGCGCTGTAGACACCCCGCCTTCCTGTCGATTCGCGGGTGCGGCGCGAGCCCAGGCCGCTTCTGGCCAACAAATTGTCTCGGATAGTGGCACTCGGTCGGCCGGCGACCAAAATTCCACGGATGGCGCACGTCTGGTGAGGCCGAGCCGCCGGCGAGGAGCGACTGAATGCCACCCATCCCTCGGGATCGATGCGGTTGGGCGTGGTCGATGACGCAAGGCTGGGTGGCACAGCAGGCCACACCCGGCCGCCACGCCCCAGTTGCAAGAGTTGCGCCTGCGCGTGAGTAGTAATGAGCGTAAAGCGAAGTGCCATATAACGGCGCCGACAGCACCACCACCCCAGACCCACGAGCGGCCCGCCCTCGCGCGTGGGCCCGGGCCGTGAGCATGAGCCACGGCCATGGCTCGGACCCATACGCTAAAAACTCGACGAGGATTGAAGCGGGCCTCGCCGGCGTGAAGCCGGGCACGCTGACCGGCGTCAAGGTGAACCACACCGAGGGTGGAGGACCTCAGAATCTGACGGCGGAGGTGGTGTTCATACCCCTCGGCTTCAAGTTCAACGCCGAGGCCTTCGCCACCATCGCGGACAAGACGTGGGCCCTCTTCAAGCCCAACCTGGTCATCCAGTGCGACGCGGGTAGCATGCACCCCTCGCAGCAGACGACCGTCAGCCTGATCCGGCTGCCTGGCTTTGAGGAGTGGCGCCGGTATGCTGTGCAGCACCAGCAGGCCTCGAGCGGGCGGGCGGACCGGGACGGCAAACCAGAGCTCATCCAGACAGAACGCGCGGTTCTCGATGAGCTCCTCTTCAAGCGGATCATCAGCATCTACGTCGACATCGTCGAGGCGGCCGCGTTTGCAAAGAACTGGATCGTCGTCGACCGCATCTCCGGCAAGTCGGCCGCGGCGGACCTTCTGCTCGAGCTTGCGCTGCAGCGAACCTCGCAGCGGCCGGTCATCATCGTGATGGACACGCTCCAGCGGCTCGACACGTTCGACTCAGATGCGGCAAACAAGCAGTGGAGCTTTATCGAGCTGGCCGTTCGCAAGGCATCGACCATCGGCGCTGTTGGTGAGGATCGGAACGTCGTCAACATGCCGTGGCAGTACTGCCCAGACGACTTTCTGGACGCAGAGCTCTTTTACGACAAGCCCAACCCCAAGCGAGGGGGCGGCACGCTGCCGCCGGGCAAGCGCTGGGAGACTCACTACTTGCAAAACATCTTCTCGTACGGCACGCACCACCTGCTGTTCCAAGATCCCGGTGACGCTCTCTCTGTCGAGGATCTTGGCCGCATCGGGTGCGTCTTCTCGAACGGATCCGATGACCTGTGTGCGCGCCTCCGCAGCAGGATTGAGTCCGGGACGCCGCTCGTAATGATGTACAACACCGGAGGCGCGACGCAGGCCTTTGGCTCTATGCAACGCATGCTGCAGCACGGCCCGTCGCCATCGGCCAGCATCATGCTGGCCAAGGCCGAGATCTGCTCGACGGATGCGTGGACCGAAACCTTTGGGCTACCTGAGATCATGGGGATGAAGCAGCTCAAGGCGCGTGCGCCCAACATCTTCCGCAAGACGGTCGTCTCGGTCGACCTCATCCACGACACCGAGGACGAAATTCTGGAGACGATCACGGCGTGCTTTTCGGCGGTGGACGGTGGGCTGCCGGAGCTCGGCCTAGGCGACGCGGAGGCGATGGTCGTGCGCAGTGCGTGGAAGCGCCACTTGACGCACTATGCGAACGCAAAGCAGTACCGCCGCCGCTCGGTTGCTCTAAACCTGATTTACAACCTGCTGGCGCTGGTGACGACGCTCTTCTCGGTGCTCTACTCGGTGGAGAAGATTGAGTTTGCCAAAGCCGATAAGTCGTACACGGAGTGCATGTCCAATTACAATTACGTACATTCCCAAGAGCCCGATTTCGATCCAAACGCACCGAACGGCTGCGAACCACCGTCCAGGAGCACGCAGGAAATGTTCCAGTACGCCACGGTCATCCTGCCAATCGTCACGGTGCTCGTGTCGACGATCCTCTCGCGCTTTCGGCCGAGCGAGAAGTGGACCGCGTGCTGCGTCGCGGCGGCCGAGATCGTCGCAGAGATTTACATGTACCGCACTCGCGGCGGCGACTACGACGACGCCAACTTCATACACGAGAGCTCGACTGGCAAGGTTGGGCACGCAATTCACCAGCCTTGGCGAGCCCTCGAATCGCCCCAACACACGGCACCACGCCCGCAGGTGGGGTTGGGAACTCCGGCATCGCGCGCGCGGGCGTTGTTTACGACGCGCGTATCGGAGCTCTACAGCAGCGCGCTTCTGTCAGAGGTGGCCAAGGGCGGCGCGTTGGCGCTAAAGGGCCCCGCGGTGATAGGGCTGGGCTCAGAGGAGCAGTGCAATGTGCGCGCGACGGCCGTTCAACCCACTCCCACCCACCCGTGTGCAAACGCCTAGCTGCGAAACAGGTGCTCGACATGTTGGTCCTCAACCACGCCCGCAATGACCTTAAAAGTGCGGTCTGATGGCGCTCTATCTCCGCGTGATACGAAAATCGAATAAATAAATAAATAAAAACGGACACCTCTATTCGGAGAAGAGCCGGAGGGACCTTGGCGCCGGGGTCACGAGGAACTTGCAAATCGTGGCGGAGGCGGCGACGGGAGCGGTGCAAGAGGTGGATCCGGCTCAATGATGAGGCTACGGCGCGCATAACGAAGAGAGAGGAACGCATTGAGTGGCTGAGGAAGCTCTTCACTGGGTGGAAAGAGGCTCGGCCGGCCTTGAGGGGGTCGCGGAGGAGGAGGGATAACGCAGGCAACGCAGGGACGGGCCAACAGCCAGTGGGACGAACGAGGGCCGCGACGGCGGCTCAAGCGGGAGGGAGCGGAGACGGTGGGCAGCGAGCGAAGTGGGTGAGACTGATGATGCTCCTTCGACTTAGGGAGCGGTTCAGCTGCTGGGCGGGCTTCAGGCTGGTGCTCACGCGAACAGGAATCGACGCGATGTGCAAAGCATACAAGAAGGGGAGAAGGAAGAGGAGAGACGCCAGTGATGACGAAGCAGAAAGTAGCGCAGACGAGAGCAGGGCAGAGCCGGGGACTGGGGAGCCGGAGCAGACGGCATCGGCCGCCGAGGGAACGTTGGGAAGAGGCACGAGGAGGGCGGCGACCTCGACCGACTATGGAGGACGCGTCGCCAGACGACGCAGGGCAGAAGACGGTGAGGCGGAGCAGACGCGCAGAGCGAGACGAGGGAGGGAGCAGGACTTTGCGGAGATCAGCAGGAGGATGTACGAAGAGATTAGGAGCAGCAGGGACCCGAGGGGCCAGGGGGACCATGTGGAAGACGGCTAGTGCTAGTCCCCCATATCGGGAGGACGACCCCGGCTAGTCGCCGACCACACCCACAAAGAACCCTGCACAAAGATCGCAAGGGCGGGGGCCTGTTCCTTTTTACCCATCTCACAGTAGAGAGGTGTCCGTTTTTATTTATTTATTCCCGTTAACAGACAGAGACACTGCCCGCGCGCATGCATGAATCCTCACGCACCTCGAGCCGACCCCCTCGGCCGCTTCCTTGGAGCTACGCCTGCTCCTTCGCCAGCCTGAGGAACTCCTCGACGCTCATCCCGCCGCGCGGGTCGTCTCGCACACCCGGCGAGGCGGCGGCGCTCCCATCTCCGCCCGCGCCCGCACCGCGCCGAGAATCGATCCAGCGGACCACCTGAGAGGTGTGTGGAGAGAAGATTACCTTGCCTTGCCTTGCCTTGCCTTACCTGAGTAAGGGACCGCGCGAGCTTCTCCACACACACACGAGGGTGGTGGGGCAAGGGCCAGGCTAGCCCCTCGCGACTCCACCAGGCAGGCAGGAGCCCCACGGCATTCAACGTGCAAAGCCTGGCGCGCGGTAGGAAGTGTCTAGGAAGTGTCTAGGAAGTGGCGCGCCGCTGGATCATGTAGTGCAGCTTGAGTCATGTAGTGTCTAGGAAGTGTCTAGGAAGTGTCTAGGAAGTGGCGCGCCGCTGGATCATGTAGTGCAGCTTGAGTCATGTAATGTCTAGTAACCAATGTGGGCGGGGGGGGGGGGGGGGGACCTCATCGACGGTGACGATGTCAGCGTACCTGCGGCCCGAAGCATGCCGTCAGGCGCCGAGGCTCGCCGAGAGAGCCACCGAGATTCGCCGAGAGTCGCCGAGAGTCGCCGAGGTTTGCCGAGATTCGACGAGATCGCACCTTCGCCCCACGTCGCGGAGCACGTCGTCGTGCGGACCAACCTCCTGATCGCCTAAGGTACGGTACGCTGAACTTCTCCACACACAAAGTGGTGGGGCAAGGGGTGGGGGGGGGGGGGGGGGGCGGGGGGGCTAAGGTAAGGTAAGCTGAACTTCTCCACACAAACAAAGTGGTGGGGCAAGGGCCAAGCTGGTCCCTCGCGTCTCCACGTCTAGACGACAGGAGCCCCACACGGCATGACGGGTGGGCGATGCGATGATCGGGGACCGGTCATTCACAGCCGTTGAACGATGAACGCGCGACACGTGTGATCCTTCCCACCAATGCGCCAGATGATCTCCTCCTCCCCCCTACCCAACCTTGGAAGTCAGTTCGGGGAGTTGACTCGTACTCAGACACTGCGAACGAGCTCAGGCTCGCCGCGGCGTCGGAGGAGGGAGGGGGGGAGGGGGGGGGAGAGAGAGAGAGAGAGAGAGAGAGAGAGAGAGGGAGAGAGGGAGGGAAAGGGAAAGGGAAAGGGTAGAAAAGGGAAAGGGAAAGGGAAACCCAGAGGGAAAGCGAAACCCCGAGAGACAGAGAAAGAGAGAGAGAGAGTGGGGGGGGGGGGGGGGGGGAAAAAAAA